CAACAGTGTGTGCCAACCTTGTGAAGACCTACAGAAAACGTTTGACCTCTGTCATTGCCAACAAAGGATATACAACAAAGTTTTTGTAGTTTTTGTAGTTCACTTTTGTTATTGACCAATTACTTATTTCCACCATTATTTGCAAAAAATTCTTTAAAAGTCAGACAAAATGATTTTCTCAAATTTTTTTTCACATTTTGTCTCTCATAGTTGAGGTCTACCTATGATGTCAATTACAGGCCTCTCTCATCTTTTTAAGTGGMAGAACTTGCACAATTGGTGACTGACTAAATATTTATTTTCCCCACTGTACAAGGAGCCCATCAATTTAAAGTCCAGACTCTACTCTTTCCAACAATGTAAGTGTCACAGCTCTACGTGAAAAATTCACAGAACAAGCAGTTAAGGAATAGTGAAAAAGGTTAAATTCTGGAACCATAAACACAAACATCTTTCCTTTGTTTTTATGGCTTTAATCCACTTTGGAGTGATTTTTTTCCACTTGGCTGGACCTGTACGTCTCCTGTGTTAATGTTGGTACATGTAATATGATAATTCTGTACTGTGGAGATCATTAAGAGTTGTTGTGGGTGAAAAAAATCTTTCGCTAACACTGTGTTGACCGCGAACTGGAAGTGATCAGAGTGGCACCAAGTGCTGGACTGGATGTCCGTGGCATATAGGCTATTGGCTGAGGAGGAGGAAAACCTCTGAACTCTAGCGAACTGAGGAGAGACAATAACATCATGGGACTCTAGACCCTGGCCCAGGGTTGGGCCTAGCACGGAACCCCACTCCCTCAATGTCACCTACTCCTCTGAACCCGCCCCATTTTTACCTCCCCTTTATATGTTATCTGACCTAAGCCCCCACCCCAGGCTATCTTGCTCTCTCGCGGGTTGTTAACTCAATTTTCCTTTTGTGTATTTCAAGCTGTTGTTAAAGGTAGCACAACTGTGTTTGCAGCATGACCGGTTTCACCTGTTCCCCCACGTTAGTCTTGTATGTCTTCTTGAACGGGTGCTTCTTAACTACCCCCTCCCCACTTCCCTGAATGTACAGCACCTTGAGAATTTATTTCTGTGAAAGGCGCTGTATACAGTAAATTAAACTTTACTTACTATTTTTAGAATAGTTTTGGGAATTTCTCTTGGGTACCACCACACATAATTTCACCTCAATATGTCTAAAAATGACAGTTATGGTAAATTATTCCTTTTAGCCAGTTCATCATGTGATGGGGATCTTTCTTAGCTACAACCACACCAAGTTACAGCCCAAAATATTTTTAAATGGCCAAGTTGTTGCAGTTTCAAATTAGCACTGGTGACCAGTTTTAAACTTTATAAATCTTAAAATGGCTGAATGATAACCTTATCTAAAATTAGCATTAGCAGTTAGCTTAAACTTGTGATTAGTATTCAGAATGTGCTGAGCTGACTTGCCTCATGGGACAAGCTAAAAAGATCAAATAATAAAAATGATAAAATTATTGTAAAAAAAGTAAATACAATTTGTAAAGGTAATACTGCAGTATTTTGTAAAGTTAATGCAGTACAAATACTGCAGTGTATGTACTGCAGTGTGAAAACAGTCCCTACCACCCTGCCCTGCTCCTCACCTCCACCTTCTCCAGTCTCTGCAGTTTAGTCATCAGATCCTGGATCTCCCCGTTTTTCTGCGACAGCATGGACTGCAGTCTTTCCATCTGAGCCGGGTCAACTCTAGAACCCTGCAGCTGCATCAGAGTGGCTATCTGGACCTGCAGGACACACACATGTTGTCACTGTGGTTCAGGAGACACAACCTGCTGTGGGTCAAACAAACAAAGGTACCTTCATGCGTTGCATCTGCTGTTTGTTGAAGGCATGGACCTTCTGCAGAGACTGATACTGGACCTTCATGCTGATGAGCTGTCTCTCCATCTCAGCTCTCTTATCTTCCAGCTGCAACACATCAACATCATCACTTTGTTCTTTTGACAAACTCAGATCTAGTTTCTACTGCTCCGTCCTCACCTCAGCAAACAGAGAGTTCCCCTTACTGTTGGGATCCTGGGCCTGTTGAAGAACCTGATCCAACTGGATTTGTAGGTCTCGGTTCAGTACTCGAGATTTCTGTGACAAAAACATTCAGTCTGTAAATCTGTACTATTCAGGAATGAAACATTGAGTATCTTCCAGCCAAGAGCAAAGACAGATATATATACACACGCACGCACGCACGCACACTCTGGTGGGCACCAGGCCACTAAAATTCAAATCTGCTAATTGCGGACCTAAATATTTCATTTGCGCTTTAGCGGTCTTACTAATTTTTATAATTCATAAGCAGATTTGCACTTTCTAAATTTAAAATGCAGTACTGCTAATAACTAATTATCCACCAGTCATCATTATGTTGAACAGCAGAAGGTATGACTGTCAATGAATCACAACACATGTGATCTATCCAACAGCACCCCTCCCAGATAAACACACTTATTGTGAARGTWTACATCCTGCTGACTGTTGCTTTGGGTCACGGTTCTGATTTCCCACAATGCTTTGTGTCTGCTTACGTAGCAGGAAGGCAATAGCAAAAACAGTTAACGCTTGTAATCCATACTAAAATTTTGTATGTGTTGATTTATTTTACTTTACAATCGGAGCCCCTTTTTTTTAAATAAAGTTTAAAAGCTGGAGCTCAATACTTGACGTAATTGGTCGAAGCAAAGGGGTTAGAGACTCAGAAATTATTTAAAGATGTTACGCAGATGAAGACTGACATCTAGTGGTTAACTGGAGCAACTACATGGAAAACTTTAAAATTCATGCTTTTATTTTGAAGGGAAGATAGTTTCCTGCACTCTGTGCTTTCGTTTCCCATCACAAATCAAATCCGTCATGTACCCAGAATGCATCGCTTCAGTTTTCCAATAAACTGATTTAAAATTACTTTATTGATGCTTCTTTAATGAAAAATCTACAACAAATCAAAGAAAAAGACAAAGAAGCAGCTGAGCTAGCAATCCTCAACAACTTTTTAATTTTTTACACCAGGAGCTAAAGGTCTGTTTCACGAAATCACATCCCCAGCAATTGGCGGTTGTAGAATTAAGCTGTAAAAGAGTTCATACACCGCTAGTTGGCAGTGTTGTGCATGTATTGTACATTAATTGTTGCCGGCTAGTAAGAGTCAAATTGAACTTGTGCTTTAAAATTAATTTCCGCTACTTTTTCTATGGCATAAGTGTTTTTGAAGTTGCGGAACTAAATATTTTCATAAGCACTTTAGAAATTGTGGAGTTAAGTTTTGGATTAGCACTGACCAGTACTGAATGTGTATATATACTAAGTTTTTCTTAAATTGTTTCACCACCATGTACCATAAAGAACACTGAGGCTATTTTTATGAGGTACCAAGTGTAAAATAAAATATTAAAAGTCATATTTTGATTATTTAGCTGACGATGAAGGAAGATAACGGTGTGTCTGCAGGAGACACAAACATTCTCACCTCTAACTCAGACCTTACCTCCAGAGCATTAAACCAGGACACGGCTTCTTTCTCTCGCTCTTCTTTCTCCTCAGTGGTTCTGTGCAGCTTCCTCTGCAGGCTGCAGCTGCTCAGCTCCAGCTGCTGCTCTCTGAACTCACACTCCTGCAGCCTCTGCTCCAGCTCCACCTGGAACACAAACACCGTCACAGCTGCACCTGACCAGGAGCCCGGATCACAACCGTCCTGCTGAGAACAGCCGGCACCTTGACGTTCTCCAGCTCCATGACCTTCAGCTGCACCTCCATCATCTCAGACGTCATGGAGCTCTGCGTGTGTTCGTTCAGAGCTCGCAGCTCCTCCGTCTTGTTGTGCAGCATCTCAGTTTGCAGCTCCAGCTTGTGTTTCAGCTGCTTCTCGTTCAGCTGAGACTCCTCCAGAGCTGACTGCAGACTGACAATCTGAGACCACATAATCATCATCATCATCATCATCATCATCATCATCATCATCAGGTCAGGTCAGGCCCAAACAGGACAGAGACAACTGGAGCATTCTGCTGTGGTCAGAACCAGAGACCAGCTGCAGCTGAGCAGACCTCAGGACATTCTACCTTGCTGTGAAGTTCTCTGGTAGCCAGGTTGTGGTTCCGCTCCAGATGTTCCAGCTGTTCTTCAAGCTGCCGTTTCTGCTGAGTCGTCAAAGCGTCGTACTCCGACTGCAGGGATTCAAGCATCCGGGCCTTCAGCTCCACCTCCTTCTGCAGGGAGTACTTCTGCTGTTCAAGGGCCTGAAACACACAAACACAGAGAGTCGTAAAGTAACTAAGTACAAATACTTCTTTACTGTACTTTTCTGTAGAATGTTTGGGTATCTGTACTTTACTTAAGTAATTATTTTTCAGCCTACTTTTTAGAAAGTTGTTACTTTTATTTCATTTTTGCTTGTTTTCATTCCAGCTTGTTGTAAAAAATAAATACTATCGATGCAGGCTTAATCATTAAATATAAAATACTGTATTTTTAAAACTAGAGGAGGCATTTGTATTTCATGAATTATATTCTTACATTTGGCCGCAGCCCTCAGATAGATTTTCATTTTGGGGAAAAGCTTTGTGCAGCCTTGATATATGTATATAAACTGAAACAGCTGGACTAGTGCATCCTAAATTTAACATCCATCAAACATTTTAATCTGATAGTTTTTCTGTAATAACATTTATTCAGACGTGACGACCCCCAAAATATGCATAAATGACTAACTGCTCATTTTAAATCAATATTTTTACTTTTAATACTTAACTACAACAAATATCACATACTTTAACACTTTTACTTAAGTAATATTCCTAAAGGAGACAAACTTTTACC